GTGAGTTGGCCATGTTGAGTTGGCCATAGTGAGTTGGCCATGTTGAGTTGGCCATAGTGAGTTGACCTATTCCACCTCCTGCTTTTTCTTTAGAAGAGATCGCAAACGGTTGTGTCCATGATACTCACTTCCCCTCTGATGTCAGCAGAGAGTTCAGACTTTCACATATAATGCCACTGACCCTCCATACCCATAGCCATTCCCATTGGTCCTGGAAGAAGAGGAGAAAACAGATGCTTGAAACCTTCCTATGAATGATGATCCCCATCACCCTCCTAACCTGCTTCAAGGCATCTTTCTAAGGGGAGCGTTAATTTTAATCGAGTGTCAATTTAATGTTGAACATTAGATGACCAGATTTTCGTGTATGGGCCTAAGCAACAAATCTTCTTAACTGCAACTTAAGTCGGGTCCTGGTTCTTCAAGCCTGACAGCTGGAGCCCCACTTCCCCCACCCCAAGGACATCCCTTCTGGAGAAGAAAATGAGGTTGCGCCACCGAGGCTAACCTTCTGCCTGTGCTGCAGAGCCGAGCGATTCAGGCTCACCTGGGGGGTGAATTGTCATGCGCTGCTGCCCATCCATAACATAACCTCCCATTTGCTGCCCGTCGGGACTGTATGGCGTACCTTGACCTGCTTGGAAGAGAGGACGGTCACAGAGAAAAGAGGACAGGTAGACACATCCCCCATTTTCAGGGTGTCCAATTTCTGCAGAAAGTAGCCCTGGTTGGTTGGGGAAGGGGGGGCATCCTCCTGCATCCTGTTTAGAATCTGTTCCCCAAATCAGCCAGTTTGAACTAGTGGCTAAGGCGCTAGGCAAGAAACCAGGAGGCAATGAGTTCTAGACCCGCATTAGGCATGAAAGCCGGCTGGGTGAACTTTGGGCCAATTACCAGGAGACTGGGAGTTCTAGTCCTGCCTCAGGCTGAGTGACTTTGGGCCAATCCCCAGGAGACTGGGAGTTCTAGTCCTGCCTCAGGCATGAAAGCCGGCTGAGTGACTTTGGGCCAATCCCCAGGAGACTGGGAGTTCTAGTCCTGCCTCAGGCTGGGTGACTTTGGGCCAATCACCAGGAGACTGGGAGTTCTAGTCCTGCCTCAGGCATGAAAGCCAGCTGCATGACCTTGGGCCGATCACCAGAAGGCAGTGAGTTCTAGACCCGCATTAGGCACAAAAGCCGGCTGGGTGACTTTGGGCCCATCACCAGGAGACTGGGAGTTCTAGCCCCACCTTAGGCATGAAAGCCAAGTGTGCGACTTTGGGCCCGTCGTTCTCTCTCAGCCCTATCCACTTCGCAGGATTGTTGTTGTGGGGGGGGGGAGGAGGGGGGAAAGAAGGAGGAAGGAGTATTATTGCCATCTTGAGAAAAATAAAATTTAAAAAGCAGGGCACCGAAACCTGCTTGGCACCCTTTGGCCTTGTGAAAATGGCTGGACTGCGTTTAGTGGGAAAGGAGCGTGATGGGGAACCAATATATAGAGTGAGCCCTTTCCCGCAGATCCTTTGGAGAACAGAATCCCTCTTACCTGTGCGATTTGATTGGTCGATCATAGGTTGAACTATGCGCCGTCGGGCATTAATAAACCTGCAGGAGATACAAGGAAAGGGATGACTATACGCCCCTGGGATTGCTTGTTGGTGTCCTCTCCAGCAACGCCGTTTGGCGATTCTCATCCCATTAACAGAAACAGAGTAACAGAGTTGGAAGGGGCCTTGTAGGTCATCTAGTCCAATCCCCCGCCCACGGAGGAGATCCTACACCATTTCTGACAGAGGGAACTCCAGTCTCTTCCCAACTCTCCCTAAGCAGCGTCTTATTTCTCTGGAGTACTTCTCTACCTACAACGTGTCACACTCCAGGCATCCATAGTCATCCCAAATAGCTTAACACAAGCTAATGAAAACCAACAATTCCATAAAATAAAAGTGGAATCAAGTTCATGAGAACTTCAAGGGCTCATTGGAACAGGAGGGCTTTCATGCTCTAACGGAGTCACGTCTTCATCAAAGAGGGCAAGGATGAGGACTATCCAGATCTTGGAGAGAGGAACTTATTCTTTTTCTCAAGCTTGGCGGGCTTGAAGACACGTGAACGTCAACTCCAAGAATGCCCTAGCTTGGTGAATTCTGGGAGTTGAAGTCTTCACATTCTCAAGCAACCAAGGTCGAGAGACACTGGCCTAGGGTACGAAACTGGAAAGCCAGCTCGGTCTCGTACAGTGTTTTGTGTGGACTTCAACTCCCAGAATTCCCCAGAATTCCACCTATACTTTTAGCAGGTATTGTACCCACAAGAGTCGCAACGACAAGGGTCTCCTCCCCGTGACAAAGGGGTCTTTACGAGTGGGCAGGGCAGAGGTGCAGCAAATTCAGCAGAAGCAACGCTTCCTGTTTCTTCTCTTCTCACTTTCTGACGCTTACCAGTTGTTGACCTGCAGGATCGTCAGTCCCGTGTCCTGGGCTAACTGTTTCTTCTGTTCTTCTGAGGGATAAGGGTGCTGCACAGAGAAAAAGAGAGGTCTCCAAAGCTTTGACCCAACTCTGTTGGCTCCTTGGGTTGTCCTTTCAAACGCTAATGTTTAAATGACTACGACTTTTTTTTTTGAAGCCACAGCAAAATAAATAAATAAATAAAATCCTTCCCTCTTCCATCATTCTGCATCCTTGCCTTGTCTTCCAAGGAACTTGGGATATGGTGTGTGGGGAAGACACAATAGCCCTGCAGGGTGGGTGTCCTGGAATGATGGCCCCCCAACCCTTTCACTTCTTAAGAAAAAAGGGGGGAGGGGAAGGGAGGGGAGAGAAAGAAAAAGAGAAAGAGAAAGA